CTCTCTCTCTCTCTCTCTCTCTCTCTCCATTTTAGCATAATTATAATTTTATTATTGCGTAGAATTGTATGGAATGAACCACAGAATGGGAAAGATAATGGATTTGAATCGGTTTGACAGCACATTCTTCGGACTACCGGATGAAATGGTTTCTGAATTAGATCCCTCGAACAGAATAGTATTGGAAACGGCATACGAAGCTATTTTGGACGCAGGTATGTAAATGCAGTCAACCTCACTAGTCCAAATACATACATGTACACTAAATGTTATTTCCTAACTGACCCTGTTTAACTGTAAATGTTTTTTAACTGTAAAGTAATATAAACTCTCCACAAATGAGCTATGGGATGAGTAAGTACATGAAATATTGGTTGAATGGTTTAATTTTAAAATGAGTTTGAAATTAACGTTATCTATATGTAAAAAAGGGCACAAATTAGGTTTTTTGTAATTATTTTGGTAAATTTTAAGGTTATGCTAAAACCATTAACCAAGCACATTTTGGGGAGTTTTTGATTATTTTATCAAAGACAGAATCAAGTGTTTTAACTAGTTAAAAGTTATTTAAAGTAAAACAAGTGCAGTTAGGAAATAATATCGAGTATATATATTACGGTACTTATATTTTTATAAAATAAATTATAAATTATTCTTATGGTAAATATATTGATATATGGTATACCATATATTGAGAAAAGTGGGCCATCGCCATAGTCTCGGGAAGTCGAGGCCATTAGCTTTTTATGGCTTAGATGGTGTGCCTGCCATAGGGAGTGGTCACCATTAGGGTGCACACTATGATCTTATAACTATGATATTCAACTTTTTATATAATACAGTATCAATTATTATAATCCAATAAAGGTGATTATATTATCAAGGTATCATTACCCATAGAATTAGCATTGTTATAGACTTAACATTACCCATGTTAAAGTATAGCCATAGTCTTAACGCTTAAGCACAACAGATATTTTACATACACCTCTACAACAGTCCCTAAATTTTTTGTATGCAAGACAGTGAAATGTGGAGCACAGGGACTCATAGATGGCTCGCATTCAAAAGTCGAGTCAACACTTACTGACATAAGCGGGTGTGAGAGTCATGTGATGTTTGAGTTTGTGTGAGATATTGGACAATACATAACCAACGCCAATAATTGTCACACTAATAAATTGCTAATTCATAACAATTAAATTAAATTTTATCATTCATTACTAAAAACAACATGTGTTAACATTAGATTACAAACTTATATAAAACGAGTTTTAAATTCATTAATATATAAAGTAAACAAAACCCCTATTTTCTTAGTTAAATAAGAAAATAGGTTTTATATATTAACAGCGTTATTTTTATGCAAATGTCAATATCTATACCATAACATGAAACTCCTGTACTATTGCATGTTATTTATTTCTACAGCCATGTATAGATTTATTATATACATTGGGTATGAATTTATTTCTAACAAACTCTCAAATATATGCATAATAACGTATATGTACAGTATTTGTTTCATAGCTCACATTGCATTAGTCTCACATTACAGACATCCATAGATATATTATACACATTAGAAAATAGTTTATTTTCAATACCTATAAAACATATGAAACATAACGAAAGTGTATTGTATTTGTTTTATAGCTCACATTGCATTAGTTCATTACAATCTACAGACATGCATAGATATACTTATAAAAGTATAAAGCCATACGCCCAACCATACACCACACCAGTGCTCAAACCTAACCGGTACTCCGAGCCATACACTTAACCATAGCCCACACCAATAGCCCAGTCTTAACCTATTGGCCAAACCCAATGCCCAAACCTAATGGTCGAACTCTATGACTCACAATAACTCACAAACATATGAAACATAACGTATGTGTATTGTATTTGTTTGATAGCTCACATTGCATTAGTCATTTACACTCTACAGACATGCATAGATACTGTATATTATACACATTAGATTTTAGTTTATTTTCAAAGTCTCAAAAAATATGTATTGTAGTGCATATGTATTATGAACTCTAGTAATTAGTAAAACAAAACCCCTATTTTCTTATTTAAATAAGAAAATAGGGGTTATATAATAAATTAATAAAAGCATTATTTATAGTTAAATGCCAATATCAATACCATAATATCAAAACTCTTTTACCAGTCACATTTATATCTAGAGCCTATTATAGATATATTATGTACATTAGGTATTCATTTATTCTTAACTAACTCTCAAACATATGAAATATAACGTAAATGTACTGTATTTGTTTCATAGCTTTCATTGCATTAGTTATTTACAGTCTACAGACATGCAGAGATATTATACTCATTAGATATTATTTTATTTTTCAATTACTCTCACACATAACGTGAGTATTGTGTTGCACTACATCTGTATTGTGAACTCCAATAATCAATACATAGTCAAAGCACTCTAAACACAAGCACTCAATACACAAGCATTCAATGCATAGCGGTGGCAGTACCTGCGTCGGAACGTTTTCGTTCCAGTGTTGTATGCGTGTAACAATCTACAGCTGCTGTAACTCTATGGAGTCACGTGTGATGGCATTTGCGCACTAATAGCAGAGGGTATAGTGAAGCGGAAGGTACGCTATGCATAGCGGTGTACCCACGTATGCTTAGTTTTGACAACGTTTTCACAAAGTTTATGCAGTGAAATGGAGAGTTAGTGCTTGGAAGGGATATGACACTGCACTCACTGCTCCTCTCGCACAAAAATGCACTGAAATGTTAAGAGCGATAAAAGTTACATGTCTACAACACTGGTAGACTTTTTGGAGTGACCTCTCTTTGAAAATCAATTACTCGGACACCAGATATGATAATAAAGTTTTAATTGATCTATTATTTGCTCAAATGTTTGATTGAGGCATTCCTGGAATTTTTTTGCACTGACTCTTAAGACTGATTTTTACCGAGAGTTTGAAACTCAAATAACGGAAAGTCTAGGATCTGTTGTGTTAGAAGGTTAAGCTGCACTCCCATGTTAAATCTTATTGAGCGGGGGGGGGGACGTTAAGAGGAAAGGGAGGGAGCAGAACGATTGTGTAAACCACATTAATTATAACTGAATTGTGGTTAAAAATACACAGCGTCTATTGTTGCCAATTTTTAATGGCTGTATTATGATGATTATTATTATGATAATTATTATTATTATAGGCATAAATCCGGAAATATTGCGCGGCAGTCGACGCGTTGGTGTTTATATGGCTCGTAATATTTACAGAAACACCGGAATAAGTAACGGTGCCGTTCAAGTGGACATGTTATCGCCGATGGAGTTGATTATTAAAATAAACACATCGCTCGTATCGATGGACGCGAACCGGTTATCCTATGTGTTTGACTTCAGGGGCCCGTCGATGGTCATCGACACCGCCTGCTCGGCCTCTCTCAGCGCGTTCAATGTGGCCCTCAATGATCTAATCATAGGTAAGAGTATTATATTAATATTTTTTGTTATTTATTTTTCTCAACATGGTAATTACAACTCAACTATACTGTATTTCCAAAGGCAATATCGATTACGCGCTGATCGCCGGCGTTCACATAAATCAAGAGCCAGTAATCATGCATATGGGACAGACGGCCGGCTTTCTGTCGTCGACTGGTCAGTGCTGTCCGCTGGACGAGTCGGCCGACGGTTACGTTAAGGGGGAAGCCGTCTGTTGTTTGCTTTTACAGCGCCGACAGACGGCGTGTCGTGTGTACGCCGGCGTCCGCGGGGCCGGAGTTAATTGTGACGGCAAAAAAACAATCGGCATGTTTTGCCCGTCCAGTGAGGCTCAGGAGGAGCTGATGGTTGACACCTATACCAAGTCTGGCGTCGATCCGTTAGATATTACGTACATAGAGGCCCACATCACCGGAACTAAGGTATAACAAGCGATGTTGTAACTAGAGTGAGCATATAGGCATTAAACATTGTTTGCACGCCAATAGATATATCGTATTAATATTATTCATAGGTGCATTGACGATGAAGCGGTGTAGATAGGATTTTGAAATTAATTTCATAATTTGAGTTGACATCTCTAAGCACCAGAATCCAAGTTTCATCAAGATTGGATAAATACTTTTTAAACAGGATTTTTTCAAAGTTTGTCAGTCAAAATTATTTTGAAAAATTTACAACAAAATATTTGATTAAAAATTAATTCATTTTTAACGTGGAAATATTTTTTACTAAAGATGTGTTTGAAGTGATTATTTAGTTTTTGGGATTCACTATTAGTTATCAGACAATAGTTTAGTGTAGAAATCATGACATTAAGTATAACGGGAATCAATTACGAACCGACCGAACACAGGCGGCCAATCGGGTTAATCACGTATTTTTGTGTAGCTACAGTTAAGGTAGCGGTTAGTGTTGGCCAATGAATAGTATATTGTTATATGCGTTGAATAATTAAAGTCTCAGAAGAGGTAGAGTTTTGAATTATTTCGATCAGTATTTAAGCACGATAAATTTAACTATAATTTCAACCATCGGTAAATACAAAAAACCCATAGGAATACATTAAAATGAGAGACACACTTGTAAAGAGTCCTGTTCCAAAAGTATTCTTCTGATTTTGATGAAACTTGGATTCTGATGCCTAATGATGTTAACAAATTTCAGAATTCTATCTACACGGCTTCATCGTCAAGGCACCTATTAATCATTTAAGTCAATATTAATGACTATTGATCTTAAATTTATAAATCTTTAAAAATAAGTCCTATTCACTCGCTGTTAATGACAAATGTTTTCGTTTGTAGCACTTGTTATTTATTAAAATCAATTGTGAATTTAGGAAATGTGAAATACTTGATAAAAAACACAAACGTTAGCACATTTGATGTGAACGTGATATTATGAAGTGTGAAATTAGGCCCATATTAATTCATATACCCCAAGATTGGGCTAGTAGTTCATGTGAAATTAGGGAGAGTGTGAAAATATAGAATGTGACATTTTGGAGATCTAAGTTTACTTAATATTAATACTATCTTTGATTATACGAACAAAATCATAGGCGGGAGATCCGAGCGAAGTGCAGGCCATATACCGAGCCTATTGTGAACGCGCGGGACGTACGCAAACGTTACCGTTGGGAACACTGAAGGGCAGTATAGGTCACGCGGAGGGCGCCTCCGGACTAACGTCACTCATCAAAGTGTTGATAGCGTTTGAAAATGAATGCATTCCTCCAAACGTTAACTTCAAAATTATTCGCCACGAGGTCAGAAAATATTGTCCGCCATTATTGCCGATCGCAGAGAAATTTAAATATAAGCCGGGTACGTGTTGTGCAAACACTCTATTATCACTGATTATAATACTTTTAAATAACACGCCCGTCACTGCCCAACACAATTATTCATTAGGTTTGGCCGCTGTAAACAACTTTGGTATCGGCGGTGTTAACGGTCACGTAATTGTTGAGCCCAACCCACGGGTGCCGAACTGTGATAGCTATAAGCTGTGCGAACCAATGGCCCGATTGGTGGTGATCTGCGGCCGAACCGAAGAGTCGGTCAAACATATCATAAATTTTATCGAAAACTCGCCGATAAAAGTGACTAAAGAGTTCGTCACTTTATTGTGTCGATCAATGAAATACACACCTAATGTTAATTCTACGGGATTTCCATTCAGAGGTATTTTCAATAATTCCCATAAACTATAAGCTGTATATCCAGTGAATGAATGTTCAGTATCTGTAAAAGGTGTGCGGAATATACTGTATGTCCGTATTTATGGCATTTCTATGATAGCCATTTTACTCATAAGAAATATTTTTCTTTCCCTTATGAAATGGAAACTTAAGAAGAATAATTGAAATTTAATTTACCATACATAATATTTAAATCAACAAATGTTTAGAATTTCAAAAACAATTTTATATAAAAATTTCTCATTTTAATTATAATCAGATTGCCAGGCCTAGTTTATTTATTGAAATTGTTGGGGGAAATTGGTGATGCTTATTTGATAGGTTGATCATTATAAGTTATAAGTTTATACGGCATAATATTTAAATTTGTATATCTGTACTTTACACAATTATTTTATTTTAAAATTCTTTGTTTATGCATTATATCTTGTTGAAATAGTTTACAAATGGCAACTATCAAATTAATTTTTTTAATTACAAAATATTTATTATAAATTCATACTATTTTTTAAAATTCTCTCTTAAATATTAATTCTAGCGAGAAAACAGTGTTATCAGTTTAAATATTGTCATTGAAATAATCCGGGCATTATTGAAATTATATAATGAATAACTAGAAATAAAACGGAGTTTATATTTGTTCAAAAATAAGGGAGTTTATTAAAATCGGATAATATACACATGATCTGAACAAGTTATAATATTCCACTCTTGTAATGCTTTCCTATTCAAAACACTATACTGACATACACTGTATATTCATGTAATAGGGCGGTCAAGTGATTCCCGCCGTGCGGTAATTGATGTCATTTCTTAACTAAATGAGATAATTTAATTCTGTAAAATGGATTTAAGAGCCTCATATACTGCGCATCTGCAACATACTTTATTATAAATATAAGTCACGTGGTATATAAAATTTGGGACAATTCGGAATGGTCATATTACAGGTCAAACTATAAGAAATATAGAGATAGTCCCAATGTATGATTTATAGAGGGATAAAATGTTCAAAAATAAGGGAGTTTATTAAAATCGGATAATATACACATGATCTGAACAAGTTATAATATTCCACTCTTGTAATGCTTTCCTATTCAAAACACTATACTGACATACACTGTATATTCATGTATATCACATGTATATCCCGCACACTCTTTACATAAATTTAATCAATTATTATAAGTATAATTTACTGTAACAAACAAGCTAAATATTTATATCTAGAATTTGTACAATTTTGACAAAATTGTGTTATATCTCTATATTTCTTATAGTTTGACCTGTAATATGATCATTCCGAATTGTCCCAAATTTTGTATACCACGTGACTTATATTTATAATAAAGTATGCTGCAGATGCGCAGTATATGAGGCTCTTAAATTCATTTTACAGAATTAAATTATCTCATTTAGTTAAGAAATGGCATCAATTACCGCACGGCGGGAATCACTTGACTGCCCTATTATATCACATGTATATCCCGCACACTCTTTACATAAATTTAATCAATTATTATAAGTATAATTTACTGTAACAAACAAGCTAAATATTTATATCTAGAATTTGTACAATTTTGACAAAATTGTGTTAGTAATTTCTAATGCAATAAGCGAATTCAAAACATTTTTATAAAGGTACATTATTATCAATGTATAATATATTATCACAACTATTAGGATCAATTATAATTAATGACAACCGTGATGGTAAAAGTGATGAGCAATATAATTACACGAGACACATATCTATGATGAAAGACAAAACACTTCCCACCCTTTGGATGGTGTTCGCCGGTTTGGGCGGTCAGTGGTCGGCAATGGCTAAGGCTTTAATGCCGATAGAGATATTCGCCGACAAAGTAGACGAATGCCATCAAATACTCGACAAAGAGTTTGGCATTGATTTGAAACACATATTACTATCGGAGGATAAAACAGCGATGTCGTCGATAACCGCGAAGTTTTGCTCCACAATTGCTATAGAGATTGCGTTGTTTGCAGTGATAAAAGCGTTGGACATCACACCCGACGGCATAATTGGCCACTCGTTTGGAGAGATCGCGTGCGCGTACGCCGACGGGTGTCTGTCGGCCCGGGAGGCCATGATTGTCGCCTATTTTAGAGGTGCCATTACAACAAGTGACACACAGATACCCAATGGCTTGATGGCGGCGGTGGGCCTGTCCTGGGCTGAGGCGCTCGACGTATGTCCGATAGAGGTGTCCGTTGTTTGTAACAACTCTAAGAATATGGTTGTCATCGCAGGTATGGGTATTTGTCACAATTAAATGTAAGCAAAACAGTTGTTTAATTTGTTTTTGCAATTATTCTGTCCGTCAATATTGAAGGGCCGACAATACAAATGATTCAAACAATTGAAACGTTAAATAAAATAGGAGTTTTTGTGCGCCAATTGGAAAGCAATAATATTCCATATCATAGCCAATACGTGCGGTCGTCGGCGCGGCCAATGATCGACGCCATTGACAAATACGTGCCCAACCCGGGGCTCCGCACTAGTAAATGGGTGTCCACTGCTGTGTTGGCGACAGTGGCCGGAGAGGAGCGGCTCCGGTACGCGTGTGGCGAGTATTTCGCCCACAATCTGACGCACCCTGTTCGTTTCTACGACCGTCTTAAACAAGTTCCCGCCGGCGCTGTGATACTGGAGCTGAGCCCGCACTCGGTGTTTGCCAAAGCGTGCGCCGAATCGGTGGCGAACTGTCGCTACGTGTCGCTCATGTCGGCCAACGCCGGCGCCGCCAATATGAACCAATTGTTGGCCTCAATCGGGCTGCTATACGAATTGGGTTTCAATCCGTCGGTGGAGCGCCTGTATCCGGTTGTCCAGTGGCCGGTACCGCGCGGTACGCCGTCCATCGGTTCCCTAGTGATGTGGGATCGTAGCCAAGATATGACCCGTTATTCGCATAATAAGTTACGCCACGTGTGCGCCGATATGAATGTCGCGGTAGACACCGGGCTCAAGAAAGACGCCTACCTGGGCGACCACGTGGTCGACGGTGCCAATCTCTACCCAGCGGCCGGTTATTTGATGCTCGCCTGGCGTCAAATGGCCGCCTCCTATGGCCTCACATGGGACGCTGTGTCGGCGCAGTTCCAGAAGTGCCAGTTCCTCAAGTCAACATTCCTGGCGCCGGGAGTTTCCACCATACTTACCGTCAAATACCATCAACATACGGGTATTTAATTGGTTTTGTGACCCACCATTCATTTCATTTATGACTACCACCCGTTCTCACACCTGTGAGAGAGAGTAGCACGTATTGTTGCCAGATCATTTTCGCTATTTCCTTGATATATTCATTTTTCTAGTAAATTTTCCGGGAGATTCCTTGAGATTTTCTAAAGAATTCCTTGATTCTGTCCTTGAGATAGCAAAATAGTCCTAAAATGTCAATAACATCTAATAATTATCAAAATAATCAGTCCAACCTCGAAATAACGTGTAAATCTACATTATTTTTGACATTATTGGCTTAACCGACAAATAACGAGACTTTTTCGTAACTTTATGTTTGACCATGTTTAAAAAAAATTTGTTATGAGCCAGGTCATCGGTTCCAACTTTCATCACTACATGTGTTTAATGTGTTTACATTTATGTCAAAAAAATATTAAATCTATTCCAAGAAGTGTTGATTTTACCCAAAGACACGATACCGAACACATTTAAAAATTTGAACTATTTTAGTTTTTTACTTATGAGGATTAGTAAATTGGCTGACAAAAATTATATATGAGTTTTAGGTGATGTATTATTTATATGGCTAGAAAAAAGTGAAACTTTGGTGTTAAAAACTATATATTAAAGTATAATTTTGTATGTTTTGCACCTTAATCTAATACTTTTAATGTAAAATCTCATAAATGAATCATGTTGAAATCATGTTGAATCATGTTTACATTAAAAATATAATTTCTAGCCTTAGTTATCATTAATAGCCACATAAGATAAACCCATATCTTAAGGTTAATAACAATTTTCAATGTTTTTACCATATTTTTGAGTTGGAAAATAGCGATAATAATAACCACAATTGTTATTTGTTCACTAATTTAATTATATATGGTAATCATATTGCTATCTAATTACATTGAATGCATTTTAAATATTGTTAAGTCTGGTTTTGCTAGGTTAATTTAATAATTGTGTGTTACTGTATTTCAGATAATATATATTATATTCTTTAATCAATTAATACAAACAAGCCACAATTAGTTATGCAAAGTCTGATCCTAAAATTAAATTGTGAAATAGTATAAAGTTGTAACTTTTGCTAGTTATGCAATATAAGATATTTTCAAATAATGTAATTACAATTTGAACATGGTACAGGCGAATTCAGTATACACGACAACAACGACAACATCTGCGCCGTCGGTAACGTCCGTCGGGGCGCCGACGATATGCTAACCGAACAACACCTCATCAGTGATGGAGAGCCAGTGATGTCGGCGCGTGCGTACAGATTGGACAGGGAGTCCATTAAAAAAGAGCTACGCATCCGTGGCTACGAGTACTCCAACGAGTTTCATAGTTTGACGCGCGTAAGTACCGACGATTACCGGCACTTCTCGGCGGGCGTCGAGTGGACAGGAAATATGGTCACATTTTTGGACGGTTTGCTACAATTGAGCGCGTGTTCGGTGCCCTTCCGGGAACTGGCGGTCCCGAAGCTCATCTACGCCTTACGTGTGGACCCGACCTCACTGTTCGCCGCCCTTAGAAAACATCGTTTGGCCGCCGATGAAGCGGTGTTGGCGGCGGCCGACGAGCCACACGTTGGCGGCGACCCAACCCCCATAGCAAACACTTTTAATGATAGCGCCGCTAAAAATGTCGCCCAACGGTTCCAACTCTATCGCTCCCGATTGCCGGCGGTGTTTCACTCGGAGCTCAATTTGGTGGTCACATACGGAGCCGAAGTGTATGGTGTGATTACCTCTACCACACCGCGCAAATCGGATCCTAATCTTGGATTTCAGAGACATCAGTTCATTGCCAACGATGACAATATGGCCATCGATGACGGGCATAACAAACTACTTATTGATTATATTGAAGTTTGTATTCTCTCTCTCTCTCTCTCTCTCTCTCTCTCTCTAATGAAAATATTATTAAATAGATTTGTAAAGCAATGGCTGTAAAAATACTTGAAATGGGTTTCAACAAAATGATACGTGACTTCAATTACACAAAGATTAGCGAACAAGTGATACAAAGTCATAGAAATGCAAACATCGATAATAACGTTATGTTTAAGGTTTTGGACAAAATTCATAAAACTATTTCGAAACAAAAAATTCAACCAAACGATAAACAAGTGTTAAACAAGTTATTGAATGAAATACAAAGTAATCGCGAATACGATTTAAGCACTGATTTGGTAAATCTTGTGACAAAAAATGAACGCTTAATCCGAGCTATGGTTGAGATAATCGGCGAAAATGTTTTACCCGTAAAACAAATGAATGTAACGGAAATTAATTTGACAAATGATTTGATGGCCACTCATATCAAACAGATATTGATTTATTCGTTGTATATTTGGTCTGATATTGATTACAAATTGTTTGTTAAAAACAAACAATTAATACCTGATATTCTCAAACCCAACGCATTTGAATGGGATATTAAAGATAATTTAAGCACTAAAATAAATCATTTGCTTGTATTAAGAGATTCGCAAGAGTTATGGGAAATGGATTTACAAGACTTGATGGAAGACATGTCGGACGCCATCAAAACCAATGGTTTCTTATTAACAGTATTTCGATATAAACTGACGGAACCGGAGATCGCATTGAATTCATTGTTTGGAAATTCAGTCACGAATTCAGACCTCGAAAAACGGATCAATCAATTCATCGCTTGCGCTAAAGGCATGCAATTTAGAGTGATATGCAGTAAATGCGATACAATTGGTTCAAAGGCTGTGCTGTTTAGGAAAGTCAGGGAACCGATACTTCCGGACAAACAAAATGTTATCAATTTTAACGGCACATGTGAGCAATGGTTCCCAGTATTGAAGGACAGACTACTGATGGCCAGTGAATTGGGTGCCGACAGTCCACGTGTTTGGCTCATTGCCGACGACTCGTGTATTAACGGAGTAATGGGTTTAGCAAAGAGTCTACGTCTGGAACCGGGAGGAGAATACTTCAGATATATTTTTATTTACAATAAAAATATCGCAAATCCGGACATAGACTTCAAGGCAAAGCCATTCAGCGATATATTGGCCAACGATTTGGTGGCGAATGTCATCAGAGATGAAAGACTCGGTTCCTATCGATACCAACGTTTTGGCAAAGATTACGATAAAATTGTCACAAATGAGTATTACTTGGGTTTAGGAAAGGGTCGGGAGTTGTCTTCGCTGGAGTGGACGAACGCCGCCAACGCGCCCACCGCTTACGACGTGAACAACAAATTGTGTCAATTAGTTCACATTAGGGTCTATTGTTCGTCAATAATTTTCAGGGACATATACACCGTTTCCGGTCAGTCATCAGTAATTAATATTTGCATTTTTAACCACAATTCTGATATAAATATTGTGGTCTGTGGGATCCAGACGTCACCCCTCCTCCCTACCTCTTACCCCTCCCTATGGCACTTAACATTGCAATAAAGCTATTTGTTTTTGTAAATGTTTTAATTCGGAAAGTAACCATAATGAAAGTATAACATTGGGAATGTTAAACATTTTAACCCGTCCATCGAATTGTGGTTAACGCATAGTATTGCTTGTTGGAGTATAAAACCAATTAATTCACGTTATTAATTTTTTGACACCGCATTGTTTGTTCAAATTACAGGCAAAATACCCACTAATTTAAAGCCATTTGATAAGCCGATCGGTTTTGAATACGCTGGCCGTCGCGCCGATACCGGGGAACGAGTTATGGGCTTTATCCACGGCAAGAGTGTGGCCACTAGTGTTCGTGTGGACCCCCATTTGTTCGCAACAATACCTGAACACTGGTCCATGGAAGAGGCGGTCACTATATTGACCACGTACTTCTCGGTATGGTATGGCATGATCGAGAGGGCCCGCGTCAGACAAGGTTTGGAACCCATTTATTTTGTTTTGCATGCAAATAAAATCTTATTTACCGTTTTATGATAATTAATATGGGTATACAGTATATGGGTATCGTTAGTTAGTGGGCCAATTAATATTAACGTCGTTTTTAATTTACATTACAATAATTGTAAAAAATGTTTTATAAATTTGTGATGAATGTGGTTTATAAGATCATCATGGCCCGCCCCTATTCCTCGTGCTAATAATTGAATTAATTATTAAAATACTAACAAATGTATACAACATTCACCTTTTATAATATTTTTTAAAATTATTATTTTAAGCAAACAAATGGTAATAATTAGAACCTTAATTTTAAAAAAACACCTATTATAAATCATTATCATATCAGATAACATATAATCGAGAATCAGTTAAATTTGATCACTAATTGATTCTATGGCTTAACAACATTAGGTGAGAGCGTATTAATCCATTCGGCAGCGGGTGGTGTGGGTCAGGCGGCCATTAATGTGTGCCAACACTACGGGTGCGATATATACGCGACGGTCGGCAACGAAGAGAAGAAACAGTTTCTCATAAATACATACAAAATACCGGCGGATAAGATATATTCGTCGAGAAGTACACAATTCATGAGTGAAGTGATGCGCCAAACAGTGGGAAAAGGCGTGAATCTGGTGCTCAACTCTTTAGCCGGCGATCTATTAGACGCCAGCTATGAGTGTGTGGGCACAGGCGGCCGATTTATAGAGTTGGGCAAAACGGACATTCATCACAACCGAAAGCTCCCGATGTATAACCTGTGCCGTGATTTGTCTATAATTGCCGTCTCTGTGGACGACATTATCGGCAATCGGACGCACATATTGAAATCGTTTTACCGCTGGATTCACCAAAACTGCGCCAATGGATGCGTTCAACCATTAAATCGTAAGGTATTTTCCGCCTCACAGGTTGTGAATGCCTTTCAACATATGACTACCGGTAAACATATCGGGAAAATAGTTATCCGTATTCGGGAAGAAGAGTCCACCCGAACGCCAATTAATCACATAATACCGGCCGATAATATGATTGTCACTACACAAACATATTTTAATCCCAACAAGATTTATATAATCACCGGTGGTTTGGGTGGCTTTGGGTTAGAGTTGTGCCAATGGATGGTATATAACGGGGCCAAAAAAATTGTGTTAACTTCACGTTCGGGTGTGAAAAATGATTATCAGAAATATATAATCAATCGTCTGATAGCTTTTGGCCAAACGAATCGTTATTTCGAGAATCAAATTATAGTCTCGTCGGCCGATTGTCTTACGATTGAGGGCACAAAACAACTGTTTAATGAGTGCAATGGTTTGGGCGCACCCATCGGTGGTGTCTTTCATTTGGCTCTCGAGCTAAACGATTGTCTCTTCGGTGACGTGTCTTACGAGCGATTCGTGACAACCGTTGACATCAAAGCCAAGATATTTATGAATTTGGATCAAATGTCGCGCGAATTGGGCCACACTTTAGACCATTTTGCGGTGTTTTCGTCCATTTCATCGGGAATTGGAAATGAAGGCCAACTGAACTATACTTACGGTAACTCTATTTGCGAGCGTATATGCGAACAGAGACAGAGGGACGGCCTCTCGGGTCTGGCCATACAGTTTGGGCCCATCGGCGATGTCGGGGCGATGAGTGAGTCAACACAAACGATGGCGTTCTCCACCACTCGGAAACAGTCGATCCACTCGTGTTGCCAAGTGTTGGACAAATTATTAGCCGTTCGCTATCCGGTCGTAAGCGTTACTGTAAGTTAAACTAAAACTTGACTAAATTCTAACACAATTCAGCGCATTTGTTGCCTTATCAACACACAAACAATACACATCAGAGACAATTGAATAATAATAATGTTAACTTAGTATTTCATAGCCTTTCAGACAATGTAGTACAGAAAATATTGTATAGATATTTTAATTAGTACATAGTTCAGTGTTTTAGTTATATAATAACAACGCTTAATATTAGAACAAACGTTATATTATTGTGAGACACAATTATATTTATATAACTCGTATATCAATAAATACCAATATATTTGATTTCATGATTGAATCTAGATACAAGCTCAAATAGATATTATAAAGTTAAAGAATAAATTTGTATATCAAAACACTATATGTTTTTATTTAACTAATAGGTCAATAACGTCGAAGCGTCCCTATTTAAAATGTACATGGGAGACAAAAAGAGTTCAAAATTATTGATTAGTAATTTGTGGCGATCGCTGGGTATCGATCCGTTGGTCACTCCGGCGAATACCACGTTAGGTGAGATCGGAATTGAGTCACTGTTTGCCTCAGAACTACAGCAAGAATTGGAAAAATGTTGCGATCAAACGATTCAATTGAATTCAATTAAACACATGTCTGTCGGTCTACTTCGAGAGTTCGAGTCCGGAGGCGACGTTCCCATCAAAGCCTACTTTAATGGCTTAAAAAGGGCTCAAATATCGCTTTCAAAGTATCGGTTTGTGATCCCTTTGGAAACACACGTCCGGCTCAATGGTGTCTCAAACGGAAAGCCATTGTATTTAATGCCGACTCTGGAGATGGGGTTTGCATTGTATGACAATTTGGCGCAAAACCTGAACAGACCGGTAGTTGGACTCAATTGGACTCCAGAAGTGAACCAATTGTTGACATTGAATGCAGTGATGAAATATTTCGCTGATCTGATGGCTAGACTCGAGCCGAATGGCGGTTACGATGTGTTGGGATCGATGGACGGAGCGATCATTTGTGACCGACTATTACGTAAGGGTTTGGCAGAGAAGGCGGTTATGATTGATGTGCTGTCGAAACACCGTTTCCTTGAGGACCACATCACCGATGATATGGTATTGGAGTTGATATTGGATTGTCTTTCAGAAGACATACCAATTGACTACAAACAGAAGTTATTGAGAGACAGTTGTGACCAAAACATTGAGTTCAGAGTCAAGAGAATTGGGACAGAATTGCGAGAGTTTGCTGGAAAAGCGATGGTATCTCAAGATTTGGATAATATATTTGAAACAATGGTTAAACGGATCCGAATGTTATGGACGTATAGATTGAATTTGAAACAAAAGTTTGGAAACGATTTGCAAACAGTGGTCAACAAAAAGTGGATGAAAATGGGCAACAAATCTATGGTTATATTAATGTCTTCAGAATTAGATTCAATTGATGACAAGAGTAATGAATGTCTTAATACTTGCAATAACTTTTATTTTATTCCCCATTCAATGGTAAATATTAGTCATGCATTTAATTAAGCGAACAATTGATTTGAGTTTTAATCAATTTCATAGGATTTGCCTTCAAATATAACAGTAGAGTGGGTGGACACAAGTGGATCAATGCAAGTGACAAATGCTGTTATTGTCGTTCAATTGATTCAAACATTGAACAAATATATTCAACAATAAATCAAAATTTATTTTGCACTACAAACCCGATTATATATAAGTGTTATTGATTAGCGTTTAGTATAATTAAATATTCTAGATCGATTATATTTTTATCGATAAATCTAATTATGCTATTATTTTTAAATTAGATTTACAATTTAATTTAATTACATACAATTATATTATTATATTTGAGGATGCTTTTTAATTTTCAAATATAAACTGATAAAATTATTATTAATATGTTAAAAGCATCATGCTATTGTATGTGTAAATGTAATTGTAGTAATTGTTTAAATGTACTCTCTCTCTCTCTCTCTCCTTCTTCTTTTCTCTTACTCTTTCTCTCTCTCTACTATATTATTGCGTTATATCTAGTTATAAGTAATTATTGTGTCATTTTAATTGTATTTAAAATTATTATCTTACATATTTTCTCTGTTCAATATTATAGATTGGGCTTATTCTAATAGATCTATCTATAAACTGAATTAATTATTATTTGTAATGTTTTCAATGAATAAATAATTTTTAATACACTGTTTTAATTATAACGAATAATCGAATATACACATTTTAATTATCAAATTAAGTTAGTTTAAGTTTTACTTATGAGTATTATCGTATTATTATATTTTAAATTTCTTGTTTGTTATACTAAAACAAGGTTTGAACGCAATGCAACACTTTAAGCATAATTTAATGATGCGTTTAGCGAAAGTTTATATTTGTAGTGTTAAATATTTTAAATTATGATTTCAATGCTCTGGCAAACTTATGTACTAAAATAAAGTACCTGGCGTACAGTAACATCATCTGGAATAAAATGAATGTTAAACTAGTATAGCTTATAATTAAATACAATTAAATTATAATAAACTAAGCTTACTTTGCTAAATATGAGAGATGTGATTACAATGATTGTGCCAATACTGGCGCCCAGTTTTTTACCACTATTGAGTTTTTCGGAATACATTAAACATTTTAATTTAAGACCAAATGTCTGTCCATTGAAATGCCATTGAAGTCGTGATAGAATTTTATACGATTTATGCATACATTTCGATACGAGTGCTAACCAGACAATAATGCCTACGAGTCCAGTATAAGCCACAAATAATTGCACACAAAATATTATTATTATAAATAGTGTAAGTTTTTCAAATAGCAACTGGTGCAAAATGATCAGGGTAATTGGGTAAATTGTTATTATAAATGTCAAGACAATGTCACCCCAAAAGTAATTGTACTGTTTAAGCCATTGACATAGCGTGTGATGGTCCACCATGTATTTAATTAACCGTCTGGCATTACTGGCTGTAATTTGTTGATTGTTGTTAGTTTGCCATATGTTTTCAATGTTTAGGTTAATCTCATTAATTCTCAACAGTATATAATAGGTTAATACGGATTGCATTGATGTGCACACAAAACAGTCGGCGTATCCGATAATTATTAACATAATGAATACTATTTGCGATAATAATGTCAATAAACCAAATATTAACGATTGGTTAAAGCGGTTATATTCGATTGCTTTTATAATAAAGTACGTTATGATCGAGGTTACTTTAATTTTTTTAAACAATTAATTTAAATATATTAATAAATGTAATAAATTAGTTATTTAGTTAATTAAATTATTTATAATTAATCAAACAGTTATATACTGTACCTGAAAAGAGAAGCGTTACATTCATTATTTTATAAATTCGATTGGTAAATATGATCAATTTATTTTTATTGTTTCTGTTAATGAATTGAAGTGCCGAACGTAAACCAACACTTAATCCGGTGAATATTAGTGTCCAATTAATGTTTATATCTCTATTTCCCGGATATATCCGGAATTTAATGTTTACCACAAAAACTAGTACAAGTATACAACTTATGTAGATACGAATATATATGGATATACCACCTAGGAACAGAGATACATCGTAGAAAAGTATCCTGGTCTCATAGTTAAACTTGATAAATAAGCTAAGCGCATAATAAATGATGTATACTTGGTGACTAACGAATATAAAATAGCTTAAGATTTTTGTGATAAAGTATTTACCGTTAATGTTTTGTCCGTCATTAATAAGACCAGTATAAAAATTAATCAACTTTGTCTTAGCTATCTTGTTATTTTTTAATTTATTATTAATAATGGTTGTATTAACTTTGTTAGTAGGCATGGTTAGTAATAAGCGTAATTAGTACAAGGTTTATTCTAATAGACTATAAGATATTGTATATATCGAAATACCTCAAATATATCGGAAAGTCATCAATCTAGAAATTTACATTATATGTTAAAATATTCAGCAAATCCGGAAAATATTTATAATATTAATATAACATCAGGATACATTATTGCAAGAATAAATGTAACAATTATAAACTATTAATATTAATAATAATAAATAATAGTTTACAAAAATCAAGGTCATGGTATTAAGAGCTTCAGCACAAGCATAGTACATACATTATTGTGAGCATTATATATAATTATATTATATTATTAATATAAATTATATAACATTATAACTTTTGAACTTACAGTTTTTGAAGGATTATTTTCATCGTAGAATATTTGATTTTTGAATAAACTTTAAAATATTGCATATATTTTCTTATTACCTTTAAACATGTCTATGAACTAATAGCGCGTGTTATTCATGCATAAAAATCATATATCACTTAAAAGAATTAATGTATGTTAGTTTTTTAAATTAAAACATATACAGAAATATACTAAAATAAAATATAAATTTTATTTCATTTGTTATATTAATTATCATTTAATTGTATTGCATCAGTTGATATTATCGATTCAAATTTAATGATATTATATATGATTAATTGTAGTTTCAAAAATTGTAAACAAATTAATAAATCATTAATAATCACTAATCGTCGGAGGGGCCGATCATGGGCCACTTTTGTATAGTGAGGTTATACTTTAGTTATAGCATGACTAATGCTATCAAATATGAATCTGTCTATAAATCGCTATATTTAGAGCTCATACAGTACTGACTATTTACAATTACATTTCAACATGACGATCCCTGTTAATAATCAATATTTCATTTTTATAAAGCATATTATATATTCTTTATAATAAAGTCTTTACATTCAATAAATATTACATAATATTAGATTTATTATATCTGAGAATTATGCATTGTTGAGCTTGTTTGTTTTAACATAATGATTAAAATTTATAATATAATTATTTGTCTATAATTAGTTTTTGAAAACTACATTAAATGCTGATAAGGTTAGTAAAATAAATTTTAAAAAATTTTATTCCAAAGACAAAATATCTTAAATTGAAATATTGAAAATATTGAGTTTTCTTTGGGTTTATGGCTAAAACTAAATATTTCAATTTAAGATATTTTGTCTTTGGAATAAAATTTTTTAAAATTTATTTTACTAACCTTATCAGCATTTAATGTAGTTTTCAAAAATATAATCAATTACATTAAAATACAATATTTTTTAAATCTCCATAGGTTAACATGCAAAATTGGCCTAGTTTGCTAAGCTGCCATTTGAAAACTATCAATCCAATTTTAATAATTCTTTGTTTATTTTATTCATGTGTTATCCCTTTACAAATTATACATTGGGACCATCTCTATATTTCTTATAGTTTGACCTGTAATATGACTATTCCGAATGTTTATGTTATTAAGTAAACCACGTGACCTATGTTTATAATAAGGGATGCTGCAGATGCGCAGTATATGAGGCTCTTAAATCCATTTTACAAAATTAAATTATCTCATTTAGTTTAAAAATGACATCAATTACCGCACGGCGGAAATCACTTGACCGCCCTATTATGTCATTTATTTATGTAGTTTTCATAGCTTAGTTCGAATCTGCAATTTAAAATGTTTTATTTTAACTATTATTCAAATTATTCGAATTAGGGTGTTTCTATTGAAAATTTTAAAATCACTAAATTTATTAATATGAATTTGATAAATAGTCTAACGCTTATTTTGAAATTTTTAATCTTCTATCTCTAATATTTGAAGATATTAGAATTGTAACATTTTAGTCGAAAAATTTAAAAATTTACATACACAAAACCGATTTAATAATATTGTAAGCCCGCCAAAATTGGGCTTATACACCCCCGAAGGGGTTATTCTGGAGAATACCCTTAACATTCACTCTCGCCCCGCACACACAAACATAACACCAAATCCATCAATCAGTTAAACACAATTTAATTGCTAAAACATTTATTTAAATTAAAGAAAGATAAAGGCAATACAAAACAAACAGTGCCTTTCGAGCGCTACGGATATTCTGTCGAGAGATGTGATGATGTGTGCATCACATCTCTCATCTCAGGGCAAACACGGCGAGTCATTGAATTGTGTTAGCAATGAAAGTGAAGGACTGGCAAAACACCGCTTACAATATTAACCAGAGTTAAAATTATTCGTACATTATGCCAATATTTGGATACAACGTGTAATATTTTAATCTATATCACTCATGTAAACTTTTTTTCGATAATTAAAATTTGTATAATTTTTAAGAAAAATATTACCAAAAACGATATAATCTGTTTAATAAATCAAAATTAATTAATTAATTAATTAGAACAATACGTATTTAGTTTGTGTAAACGGTGTATACGATATATCTCATGATTGCAAATGCATTGAAAAGCATTACAAAAGTAGATAAAAATTTGTGACCTAATCTATTTCTAGAAATTGTAAGTGTAGCAAGATAATACTAATTCTGTAG